AAAATCCCGTTTACGCGAAGGAATTATCGTAAGTTACTACAGAAGTAACGCTCGCGTAAACGTAGTATATGTCGGATATATTTCAGTGGAAAAACAAAGCCTCAGCACGATGCCACACTTGTGGAATTGACACGACTTGGTGTATTGTTTGAAGTACGTCGTTTGAAAGTTGGTGATTTTGCGTGGATAGCTAGGTGTCGAAAAACTAATGATGAATTGGTTATGCCTTACATAATAGAAAGGAAGCGAATGGATGATTTAAGTGCAAGCATTGTGGATGGAAGGTTTCATGAACAAAAGGTAATATGGGGTGTAATTACCTTTCGATACATCCTTGAGGGGGGTTCTGCGTATTTAATTATCTACATATTCTTTGTTTCTGTATTTCAGTTTCGTTTGAAGCAGTCTGGTATTAAGAATTTGATGTATATAGTAGAGAATATTGATAAGAATTCCCGATTTTCAATACCGCTTTCATCTCTATTGCAAGCCTCTGTAAATTGTCTGGTACAAGACAGCTTTACTGTAAAATATACGAGGAGTCATAAAGATTCTATGTCACACTTGTCATGTATAACAAATCTTTTAATCAAAATGTACAAGGTAAGAAACATTACATAGTTGCGTGCATGAGTGTTTATTAATAGCTCTTACAATAAATGACAATTTTACTTTAGAATAAAAAACTTGTTGGATGTAAGAAAAATCATCTTACACAGACAGATCATTTAGGTAATACATACCTGATGGAGTTCAAAGAATTCAATAAAGCATCCTCTAAACAGAGGGTATGTATCAGGAGTTTTTATGTAACGAAAAATACTTCGGTTCATCGACATTTCCTTTCAGACGTTTCGAGTAGGCGAGATGTTTATTCGTCAGTTGTTACAATTGAAAGGCATGTCCGTCGACAAAGCCATGGCGATTGTAGAATGTTATACCTCACCGCAAATTTTGATCACAGCCTTAGAAAATTCTGGTAAGAATGGCGAGCAATTATTGGCAAACATTCAGGTTGGTGACAAAAAACGACGGCTCGGGCCCGCCATCAGTAAGGCCGTTTATCAGCTTTACACGATGAACGAGTTGAATTGACTAATATAAATGTACAATTTATATATGTACCTCTTTCCTGATACACGTTCAACCTACTATCGATCGGTTCAACCTACTATATATATATTTCTAAATAATTGGTAGAAAAGATATCATTAATTTTTTTTTATAAAAAACTTAAAAAATTATCGTAATAAACAATTGTAGTTTGCATCAAGTATTTTTCAGATACTCATTTTTTTTTTCAAATAAGTAAGGTATTACCTGACCATTGTCTTTACACATTGTGACTCATCACATACTATTCTCTATAAAAAAAATGACTCACTCGTACCATTGTAACGTTGCTTGAGAAATGAAGAGAAAAAGAAATTTTGAATGAAAAAAAAGCATCTGGAAAATTGCGGGAAGTTACCTCGAAGCGAAAATTTGTTATAATGTTCGCTTAATCATTTTCGGGGAAAGATAGAAATCGCACTTTATCAATTTTTCGTGGCTCGTCTGTGCCTTTCTTATGGATATAACGCTTGAAGGGACGGATCGATTCGCAACTTAATATAATTGATACGAAAAGTATGAATACACATTCAGCGTAAAAGGGCAATTTGCGACACTTTTTTTCTCTTTGCTAAGGAAAGTGATAGAATTTTCTTGCGTGAGATAATAGCAGGGGGACGATTATAGCGTGTTTCTCCGCGTGTATCTCAGATATTTTCTCAGTTGTCCTCGAATCCCCGGAATAGATGGAGTTTTCTGTGGATCAGCAATATAGACTGAATCGTCTGGTGTTGTCCATATACGGTTTATGGCCTTACCATAACCGAATGATGAACGCTTGGATTATGCGGGTATTCACAATTTTGTTTTTGATTTGGGCTACAATCACTCAGGTATCTTAGTAAATCTGCCGAAGTAAATTTTTTTGAGCTTATTTCCGCTTCTAATTATTTTACGTATATTTGTTATGTATTATAAAATATTTAAGTTTTGAGAGATATAAAAATGTTTCTCGGTAATATTTCAAAAACCGATATTTAAAATCAACTTTTAAATAAAATTTTGATCAAAATTACGGATGAGTATTTATTTATGCACCTCACAATACTCAACTTACAATTAGATCAGTATGCGAATCAAAAATAGATTTTTTTTTTATGAATTTGCAAGACAAAGGATAATTTCGTGTAATGAAAGATGTTTTTCTAGGTAATTAAGATCTGCGCGTCAGAATTAACAGCAGATTTTATACTTGATTGTCTACCTATTATCATTCCTAATGTTGGTGCAATAGTACAATTTTTGAATCGTATAATAATCAACGACAAAGTAAGAGACATACGAATAATATTTTCTATCCATAGAAAATTTCTGTAACTTATTTAATTTCTATTTGATCAAAATATGTAATATTGAAAAAATTATAATTTAATTTTGCGTTACAATAATTTGCGAGTGGAATGAGTGTTTAATTTGCAGCTGAGGAATTTATTCGATCAAATTAAAATCGATTGGGACAACGCGAGATCTCAGAATGAGATTGAAATTATGCAAACAAATGCCACACTCGCAAGAATAACAACAAAATGGTTTTTGCGTAAGTATATCTCGGTTTCATTATTGCAAATTAGAAACATTTGCATTTTAAATCTATCTATTTAGTGGTTATATTTATTAGTACTTAATATTTTATCATAAAGCATTCGATATTTTATTGCAAAGTTTTCTCTCGATGTCGTGCACATCATTTGTCGCTTCGGGAGACGACCGTTGACTCTATATTTATACGACAGACTCTATACCTATATAACAGGCACATAACTTGATTGATTTTAATTAATTTTATGTCTTCCAGTTTATATGTTTGTAGGCATAACGGTATACATGCTTAGCACATTCATCCCTCAAATTCTTGATGTATTCCTACCGCTAAATGAGTCACGTTCACGCGAGCATCCGTTTCACGCCGAATTCTTCCTCGATGATGAAAAAGATTTTTACATTATCCGTATCATAATGTATTTCGGTATCGTGTTCGTATTGGGAGTAATTCTTGCCAACGGGTCCATATTCGTCATTTACATGCAACACATCAGTGGAATGTTTACCATACTGGGGTATATATTGCTTCTATACATACAATTTTAGCATCTTATTTATAACGTGATTCTTAATATATCTTTACTCAACATTCAATATATAATTTATATCTTAATTATATATATATATATAAACAATACCTCCACGACAATTAGTGAAGGTTTTAGGAGAGTGCCAAGAGTGAAATAGACAACGACTATATAATGAACATTTTGAATAAACATTGAAATTCATGTGTAAATAATATATATATATATATATATATATATATGTGTGTGTGTGTGTGTGTGTGTGTGTGTGTGTGTGTGTGTGTGTGTATATACACATATACATATATGTAATCATTTACCCTGTAGAATGATGATATGGAACAATCAAAATCATAGTGCATTTGGCGAAAAATCTCATATAGGTGATATAATTTACTCACAGACGATATAATATTATATACAATATAATTGTGAATATATATAATATAAAATATATACAAGGTGGGGCACCCCTAACTTTTACACACCTCGAAAAACTTATAAATTATAAGTTGTACGAAAAATTGTTATATTTGCCACTGGCTTATTCATTTTACTACATTTATCTAAGATATCAAGTTTCCAACTTCTTATTACTTTTTGTTTCCTTGAATATCTCGTTATCTATTAGGTTTAGGCCAATCAATGATACATTTGAACGCAAAATTAAACATATCTTAATTCTAATAGTTAAGCATACCTTCTAATAGTGGCACAAAAAATATTCCATTTAACATTCCATTTAAAACAACAAAGTTGACCTTGAACTTTTTTAAACTCTTTCACTTAAAAAAAAATGTATACACTATGTAATGACCCCTTCGAAGTGATGCAACTTTTGTATATAACAATTTTTTGTACAACTTATAATTTACAAGTTTTTCGAGGTGTGTAAGTTAGATGGTCCACTCTGTATATATATATATATATATATATATATATATATATATATATATATACATATATATAAAATCAATATTTATATAATAATAATTTATGATGCTTAGCTTCAGGCTTTGTTTTTTTTATCATAAGAAATATCTATGTACGCTTGTGTATTTATTTTTTTATTCATTAAATAACCGAGAAGATGTTTAGCATGACAATGACTAAACTCTAGTTCACGTCGCGTCAGAAAAAAAAACGTGTGGCAATAATGCACGTTTTAAAAGTATGTTACCGTTGTGTTTAAAATGGATCTTATAAAATATGAATTCGTCCGCCCACTCGTTTGCATTGAATCCTCGATTCGGATCTATACCGAGAATGTACTGTCTTGCTTCGCGCGCATTTATACAGACACCGTGCGGAACAATCATTCAGCGACAACGAACAGTTACCCAAAAGTCGATTCATCCGTGGGAAACATTACGGAAACGTTGCTCTCTTTGTTCAGGATCACCGCAGCATTTTACAGTTAGTAATCATTTGACGACATTTACATGCTTGTCAATTCCGGTACGTACAGGGTAAACAAGTAGAGATGGAATCAAGTTCAATATATATATTTAATGTAGAATATATTTAAAAATCTGAATAAAATTCAATAATTAAATTTTATTTTTTATAGAATTCGAGTAATATTCATGAAAAATAATATTCCATACATTATATTTGCGAAGTAATCGCTCTTGATTAGTTTCGAATTTTAGAATAAATACCAGCAGAATTCGAAATGTACTTTATAAGTAGTTTCTATTGTAAAGAATCGAATTTTTTACAAATAGTACTCGAACTCTAAGTACTCTAAGTACTCTAAGAATGAACATTAATTTAAAGAAAAATTAAGTCAAAGGACCCTAGAAATTAAAAACAAAATTGAAAAGGCTGTGAGAGACGCTATCAGACGCGGTTTACTGTGCGTAGTATGAAATTAATTTAAAGAATATAATATGTAAACCCATATAGCATGAAATATTCCATGAATGTTCTATAAATATTCTTTAGAATATTCATGAATTTTCTATGAATGATCTATAAATGTGCAAAGAACGTGTAATGTCCCGTTTTGAATGTCCTTAGAAATTTCTGTAAATATTCTCGAATAATCTACAAATCTTTTATAAATATTTCCCCATAATCCATAATTTTTTTATATATGCAAAATATATTTATAGAACATTTATAGATTATTTTAAGAACATTAAAAATGGGATATCGCATATTCTGTATACATTTAATATTCACCCGACATAAAAAAAATTATTTAAAACACACCTTCGTGGGATTCGAACTCGGGATCTCGGGACCTCTGCATCGTGAGCCAACTGCCTTACGTGGTAGACTACTTCTTAATTTGATGTAAGCGTTATATATAGTCTACATATGTCATAACCAGCGCAAATATATAATTTTTTAAAAATCATCTTAAGAAACAAATTCAGTTTAAAAAAAGTAATCAAATTTTGAATTAGATATATGGTATAATATTTCTCAATGTCGGGTGAATGCTTGAAATATGCGTAATATATTGTAGATACTTCAAGAAAATCACGAAATATTCTATAAATATTGCAGAAAAATTTCTAAAAAGTTTTTATTATATATATAATGCTTTCCAGAATATTTATATAATGTTCCAAAATATTCTTTAAATATTCCTAGAATAATTAGAATGTTTTTAATATTTTTCCTAAAATGTTTATAGATTATTTTATAAATATTCTACTAATATGTAAAAAATATTCTATTAATATTCTGATCGAATATTTCATGTTTATTGCAATGTTCACAGATTATTATTGAAATATTCATAGCAATTCTAGAAAAGTTTTTCAGAATATTCATAGCACATGCTATAAATGTTTAAAAATATTAACAAAATGTTCCGTAAATATTCCAAATATTCTATATTTGTTACAATATTTATAGAACATTCTATACATTTTTTAAATGTACTATATTTATTAGAATATGCAGAATATTCTATGCATATTCCGAATAGACAAAATTTCATGGAATATTTATAGAACTTCTACAGAATATTCTGAATGACTCGTGGAATATTAAAATATTTATAGATTGTTTATAGCACATTTCTTGCATATTCCATACTGTATGGGAAGATTTTAAGTAACTTTTATTCTATATTTTTATTTTTATTATATTTAATTTCAACGATTGATAAAAATATTTGTAATTATCAAAAAATAATATATTAAAATAATTATCGCTTTGTACAAATGTTTTGATTTGAAGGAACGTAAAATTTCTAGTAAAAGATTCGAACATATTTGATCGAGTCCACTTGGAAGTAATACTCTTGTTTTTCAAGGTATTTATGAATTTGTTTCGTCGAGTGAAAGTATTGCTTTTATTTTTCAAAGTAATTATAGAGAGTTCCTCTAACAGCAATAATATCCTGTATATCTATAGAATATACTAAGAATGTACTTAAGGGGTAACGCCACTCTAGCGCCCGGAAAAACAGCCTAATTTTGACAATTTTTTTATGGGAATATAGTGAATGGAATATAAAATCTGTTTAAAGGCCTTTATTGTACATACTTTAAAGTGTGTTCAAAATTTTTTCAATTTTTTTTTTACAAAATGGCGGCGCCAGAGCTCAGCAAAAGAAGTCTCTTCTCACGGATAGTGTTCTGCGGCCGGAAAGATTTCTCCTCCAATTTTTGACCTGGAACAAAAAACCAAAAATTTTTGAGTTTTATATAAGACTAGCATGTCCCGCCGGGCTTCGCCCCGGAGAACATGTGTATTAAGACATGCAAATAGTCTCTCGCTTTCTTCCTCCCCCTCCCCCTCCCTCCCCCCCCTTCCCCTCCCTGGAAGGGATATCTTTCTAGATCAATTTTTTTTTACGTGGTAAGGAAAAACTTGTGACGTGACATTTGTCGCGTCCGCCGCCCAGACCCCAGACGGTAGCTCGGCCGAGGGGAAGGTCCGGGATGGCGCCTCGACTCGAATCGAGGAAGGGCTACCTGCGTTAACTAACCTTTTCTAGCTAAATTTCGTAGGGATGACGGGTGGCGCCGGAGCGTGGGATCACGACCAAATGTAACGACGATAGTCGCGACGAGGGAGGAACTGGCGCTCGGAGGACGCACGGCGGAGTGGTCGGCCGACGGGCGGGCCACTGGGACCTGCCGCTGGAAAAGCGCCGAAAATGTCTCGCACAGCGTACCACGGCCCCGCCGCAGCATGAGCACGGGTGCACGGGCGATGCAGCGCGGGTGGACGACCCGCACACTTCGCCCGACGGCGCCCCGAGGGCCGAGCGGCGCCCGCGCCGCCACGGCCTGGCCAGCCGAGCGGGAAACCGCGAGAGGCCCGTGCACAACCAGCAGCCAAATCAAATGGGCCGCGGGAAAATGACGGAAATCGTCTGCAGCGTCGCGAACAGGGCGACACACTCAACCAATCGGCGGGGCGGAAGAACCGCGAGCTTGAGGGCGCAAGTGCGGGGGCCCGGCGTGGTCCCACCGAACCGACCGCTCCTCACTGTCGATCTAGCCGCGAACGAGGAGCCACCCCTGGAGGAGCGCCCCGACGCCGCCGGGCAGCAGCGAACAGCCTAATTGTAAGATCTCCACTCCGGTGCTGCTTACTAATTGAGGGCTCGATCTCGGTCGCGACCCGGCGCCAGTAAATGCGTATATCGAATAGATTGCCGTGTGAATCAGCCTGATTACGTGTCGTATTTAGATACCGGCTCCCGCCGTTGCGGATGGCGGGAAGATTGTCGCGGCTGTTTGTCGGGATCGCGGGCGCGTGGCCGGCCGAGATCGTAGCCAGAAACATATCTGAAAGCCCTACTCGAAAGCTTGCGTATGATCGGCAGTCAATTCGCGGTTATCGTCGTGCGTGTCTTGTGAATCGTGGACGGAGGCGTGCCGCGGGCGGCACGCTCCGGTGTATATTAGTGTGTCGTGTAATAGCGTTTTGCGTAACCGTGGTGCGTAACGTAGCGAGGTGTCCTTCGCGCCGAGGAGGACCGTATTGTCGCAGAACGGGGGAGTAATGTTTGCGCAATCGCGTCCCGGGGCATGAGGCACCGGTCTTGCGTTCGTGTAATCGCGTATTGCGGTCGTGTAACTGCGTTGTGTGCGGGAGTCCCGTGTGCGTGTCGGGAGGGACCGCGTCTGCTCGAAAGGGAATTTCGCGAGCGCGCCATTATCTGGCGTTGCATATCTTGGATCTTTCGGGGCTATTCGCGGGAGGCCCGCGTCTAGCCATTTTGGGACCATTTGCGAGACGTCGCGGATGGTCATTTCGGGACTACCGACTGGGAACGATTTGGCAGTTGGGAAGTCGTTTCGCGAGCGCGCCATTATCTGGCGTTGCCTATCTTGTGTCGTGCGTGTGCGAATCGTGTATGTCGAGCGTGTGAGAATTGTTATGTCGAGTGTATGAGAATCACGAGCGTTTTGCGTATAAGAATCGCCGTGCGTTCGGGATCCGGGGATTAAGGCGTGGGCGGATTGGCGTTGTCGCGGGGTCGCGCTTAGCATCGAGATTGCGGGGCTCGCTTGAGAGCTTCGCTCGCGGAAGGAGCCTCGCGGGCGTGAACATCACGCACTTCGCGCGTGCTGTAACGGCCGATCCGAGTACCGCGGTGGTACCGGCCATTTGAGCGAGATCCGGCCTTGGTTTCCCGATACGATTTGTTCGTTTACTGAATGAAATATATCTAATTAATATTGTTTATCGTCGGGCTTTATTTTTGTGTGTTGCTTGTGTCACGCTCCTTCTCCACCTTCATCCTTTTCACGCGGAGCTACGCCCTGAGCTTGTGGCGAGACTAAGGAGGAGAACGCTATCGAGACGTGGTGCGCGTCTATAATCGCACCTGCCGCCCAATCGAATGGTATCGCCCAAGACCTCAGATACGGGAATTACGGTAAGAGAAGTGACTTCGTTATCCCCTTGGAGCTATCGTCCGGTGGTCCGCGGATTAAATTGCAGCCGCGCCCCCTCGGCCAGCGAGACCGAGGGAAATCGGGTTGCAAACTATACAGCCTATATCACTCCCCGGGAAATTCTACCCCTACTTCATATACAATACTTTCAAAATCTGTCCAGCCGTTTTTGAGTTATAAATGGTGTAACCAACCCAACTTTGTTTTATATATAAGATTGCCCTTTTCAAAAAGATTGGTAACAAAAAATAGTACATTTTATAGCACTTCCCGGAAAATTCCACCACTACTTTATGTATAATTCTTTGAGATTCAATCAATTATTTCCCAAAAAATTGGAAAAATTAAAAAAACCGGTTTTTAAAAGATCGGTAACAAAAAATTATATACTTTATAGCACTCCCCGGGAAATTCAACCCCTACTTTATGTACAATTCTTTGAGATTCGGTCATTCCGAACCGGTTTCCAAAAAGATCGGTAACAAAAAATAGTACACTTTATAGCACTCCCCGGGAAATTATACTCCTTCTTCATGTATAATTTTTTGAGATTCAATCAATTATTTCCCTAAAAATTGGAAAAATTAAAAAAACCGGTTTTTAAAAAGATCGGTAACAAAAACTGTACACATCATGGCACTCCCCGTAAAATTCTACCACTACTTCTTTAAGATTCGGTCAATAAATTCCCGAAAAATTGAAAAAATTTCCGTACCGGCATCCAAAAAGATCGGTAACAGAAAATTATACATTTTATAGCACTCCCCGGAAAATTCTACCCCTGTTTGATCTATAATTCTTTGAGATTCAGTCAATTATTTCCCGAAAAATTAGACAAATTAGAAAAACCGGTTTCCAGAAAATGGGTAACAAAAAACTATACACATAGTGGCACTCCCCGGAAAATTCTACCCCTATTTCATATACTTTTGGTAAAAATTCGGTTCAGGGGTTTGGGCTGGGCGTTGATGAGTGAGTCAGTGAGTGAGTCAGTGAGTCAGGACATCTTTCTTATATATATAGATTAGCTCGGGAAATAAAAACGTACCTTTAAACAGATTTTGTATTCCATTCGCTATATTCCGATAAAAAATTGTCAAAATTAGGCTGTTTCTCCGGGCGCTAGAGTGGCGTTATCTCTTAATATACTGAGAACATCGTCATAATATCTTATACTTTACGATATCCTCTGAACATTCTCAGAATTTTGCTGTCAGGGTCGAAACTACACCAACATATCCGAACCTATTTGTAATACCATATACCCCTAACCCATTTTAATTCTATTCGAAACCTGGTCTTTGGGCGACCTTACAATACTACTATTACCCTCCCTACCCCTTCCAGTGCCTTCCCTCCGGCCCTTCTTCCTGGTCCATTTCGTCTTCGTCCGGTCCATTAGTAGTTTTTCCTCCATCCTCTCCGCGATCTCGTCCTCTGCCGACCTCCTTGTCCTCCCACTTTCTTCCTCTCTACAGAGCGTTATTGAATTTATATTTCATTTTGTTCACTTATTACAAAATAATAATTGTTTAGTTTTAGTAATTTCCCGATTTACCCTGTATATACGATGAATGCAGCATATATACATTTTCGGTCGCAAACATAGAATGACGAATTGTTTCTTCCAGGTACGTTCTATTACCGAATAAATATATGACACCGCAAGTAATCTTTCTTATCGAGATTGAGATATAATTCGCAAATATTTTTTGCAATCTAAGGTTTGTGGATATCATTCAATCGTGTTACGGTTTGAGCCTCTTCATCGAATTTTTAAGTTTAATGGTCCTGATAGGCCTCACATTGGTACAAGTGAGTGTTCCACATTGAATATCTGAATTAATTAACGTATCACTGTTGAGTGAAATTAATAAATGGAATTAAGTCGTGATGAGATCACGTTGCAATAAAAATTAAATAACAATATATAGCACAGCCATTGTTATAAATAATAATATATAGCACAGCCATTGCTTTAGGTTATTAAATTCTCCGGCACGTCGGACCGATCAGTTAGATCTGCAGCTTACATTAGTGGACAATTGATTTATATGTTTATATACAGTTATATGGGTCAGCAATTAATTGACAAGAGCACACAATTGTCCATGAAGATGTGAGTGTCAGCACATATATCGCAAATCGCATACACATGTACATTAATGGATAATTTTTTTTTGGGAGATAAGTACTACTTTGTTGAAAATTTGACATATGTAAACTTTTAGATATAACGCAAGATGGTACAGGATATCCATATGGAAGCAAAAAATGATGCTATATATTATGTTGAAATGTATGAATACAATTACCATTAACGCGTATAACATCTATATTCTAAGCTTAGAAAGTTTTTCGACGGTAAGCGAAAATGAATACCAATAATAAACTGAAATCATGAAATTCTTCCTCTCCACGATAACGAGGCGAATTCTTGTTTCAAGATCGTACAATCGGCCGTGTCGGTTTGTATGCTGCTGAGACGCGTGTGAAGCACTGTTTATAAGCAAGTTGAAAAATAGTGTTCTTGTGTGTAGTCAGTATGAAATTATTGTACAATACATTTTTCCTATGTCTTGAGTTTAAAGTATCGGTTTCCACCCTATACCTGCATATTATGGCCGGCCGCACATATGCGAAGATAATTGCCAACATGCAAGAGCTAACCTTCTTCCTTATTTGTATTGCAACGTGTATTCCTTCGGTCTTGCTACTCGCGGAAGCACGTCACGATAGTCAGTCGAGGTGCGATTCCCGCACCACCCCATATAGCACATAATATTATTCGAATGTTCTGTACTCGTATTGTAAATATACGTACCGTATAGAATATACTTCGAAGATTTCTGTAACATCTTTAGTAATATATAATAATATATTAATAATATATATATAATAATATATATAATAATATATTACTAAAGATGTTACAGAAATCTTCGAAGTATATTCTATACGGTACGTATATTTACAGTACGAGTACAGAACATTCGAATGATGAGAATTTATGAGAAATATCTCATAAATTCTCAGGACGTACTTGTAATATCTCACAGTAGTATATTATTTTTCGTAAATTCTCGTATACTACTCAGAATATAGAGTGAGTCATTTTAGTCGACGCAGGCAAATATTTCGCAAAATATGAAAGATATGGAAAAATATTTCGGACAAAAGTTGTATGATCTAAAGGAGGACACATAATTTCGACGTGAGTCATGTTACAGATGTCATTTTCAAGAAATTTTAAAGGCAACTAATTTCTTAAATTAAACTTGATTTTTTCCTTGAAATAAAAGTTGTAGATCTCGTCGAGGTTTTCAAAACACTATAATAAAGCTCTCTTTTGTTAATAATTTCTTGAGATATTTAAAATTTTATAATATTTTTAATATAAAATATGAATATAAATATCTCGTAAAGTATTCACTTTTTGATGACTTTACCTTCACACTTTTATACGTAGAATAATGAAAGGAATCGATTGTTGTAAAAAATACAAAAAAAATATTTAAAAAAATTTGATTGCATTTTATAGACGCATTTAATTTTGCAAAATTGCAAATGTATAAATAATTTTAATATATTATTATTCGGGTAAAAGTGCACAATACCGGACCCAGCCCCAATGACCTTGCCTTTGACATATGTTGTCAAGGTCATCCTCCTGAGTAACCTTCAGAAGGTTTTAGCCATCGCTTGTTGTTTGTTAAAAAGTTATGAAAAAATGTAACTAAAAAATATAACAATTTATGTCAGTGCTAAAGGAAGTAATTTACTGATATGTGTGTGACAGTACACATGTGGGCGGGGGAGGGGCTACCGCTCCTCTCCCGCAAGCAGGAGTGGGTGGATCCTTCCGTGTGATCTGGGGATGGTGGATCTCGTTCTCGTTTGGCTGCCCGCGAGCTCCGCTAATAATCGCCTCCGTCGGTCGATTCCTCGTCTCTGCCCTCCCTGCTTACTCCAATTTTCCGGATCCTCCGCATTCCGACGGGAACGTCCTGGTTTAGTCTCGGCGAGGTGCCAATTATAAATTATTATAATACAAAAAAAAAAAAAAAAAAAAGAAGGGCTCAGAAAGCGGAAACGCAACGCAATTATGCCTCTGGAGATTTCGCAATCGCCTGATCGCCTGCGCCTCCCTGGACTTATGGTATAAATACAAGGGTATGTTCTTGCGCATATTTCCAAAACCAGCCAATCAATGACTTGTCCAGTCTTACGTCACACTGAGCGGCACATTTAAGCAGCGAATCTGTAATAGTCATTTATAAAAGCATTTTGAGAGGACAATATATGAATACAAAATAATGTTCATTATTTATGTGAGAGAAAATTCTCTTTTATAAATAAATAAGTATACATGGACGAAATATATAAATATAAAACGTACGTGACATATGGATAAACGCTCATCTGTTTCTTGAATTTGTCTCTCGTAGTAGATGTTTGTTTAAAATGTAAGGAAATTCGCGGAGAGATTGTGTATCAGTCGACATCTGTGGTAGTAGTTGATGTATTAGCGGTGGTGCGATGGAGCTGTCACAGATGGCGGCGGTAGTACCGTTACTGTAGGTATTTGGTACCGCAGGAGGTCGATTATGCCTCCGGGTGTCGGCCTACTACCGACGTTTTGACGAGAGGTATCGAGGAATAATTACACACTCGATTACTGCTAATAATATAATACTTTATTGCAGACCACGCAACAGCCACGAGAGTCAATATAATTCTAACGGTCGTCGAGACTCAGTTCTGCCAACCTCGTAACTCTCAACCTCTC